GTTCCAAAAGTACACGAAGCCTTCTTGACATACGCACACATTAACCTGAAACTAGTTTAGAAATCTGTTTCACTCAGCCAGCATGAAGAACACGATTCGGATTTTCAAAACAAATGTAAAGTCGGTCCTTCTATAAGGGTCAGAAACTTGTTCTGCGTTTCACAAAAAGGATCCCCAACAAGTTACAGACTTTTATCAACAGCTGCCTTCATATTGAAGATCAAATGGCCGGCCAGAAACAAATAACAACAGTAAACTCTAAAGATGAACAAACCAACCAACCAAGAGCCGATTGCGCAACAAATATGTGGGAGAAAATGGAGGCCATCGAATGACATCGTGTGCCAGGCCATCACTCGAGTGGAATCCAAGTGGAAATCGACTAGTGGGTCGTCTTAGGGTGACATGGAGGAGATTGTGTAGGGAGGAGATGAGAGACTATGGGCAATCGTGGGCCCAGCTGGAGGGGACAGAACCAAATAGAACAAAGTCGAGATGTGTTGTTGAAGCCCTTATGTTCCGCTGGGAACCGAAGGTAATAGTAATAATATGCAAGCCGCGACAACACGTTAAGATAACAGGTATTGTTCACGAAGGACTACGATATTTCAAAACAATCTTGGCTAGTTTGTCAGTTTACTAGTTTTCTGATCGGTCTTAAGGCCGGAAGAACAGGGAAGGTTGAACGTGGGGCTAACTGCCTTATCCCAGAAATCCAATCGAATCACTACAGAAACTTCAAGACACCACGGAAATATAAAGCATGAACTTATTCTTCGCTTGAATCGGAGGCGGAATGACGTCCAAGTTGGTGAAAGTCTTCCAGCAGCCAATCATCCAATGTGTACTCTTTCGATGAAGGAGAAAATAACCGTGAGGACGTGGAATGTCCATACAGCATATGAAGCTCGGAATGTTACCCAGGTTGCTAAAGAATTGAGAAGATATAGCGTAGAAAGCCTAAGAATCTGAGAGTAGATGAAATTGATATCGACTCTCTAAATTGCTAACAGTAGTCAATAATTCACTCCAAATATCCCGGAAGGCAGTCATGAGCACACTGTGGCAAAGTTACTAAAAGCCGAGAAGGTAGTAGGACCAGGTGGAATTTCTCCAAAAGTACTGGAAGTTAATAGTTTGAAAGATATTCAGTATTTGATAAGCTGTAGTCAGTTTATATTGACTAGTTAGAAAAGTGATATTTATGGTGATATTTGTGGAAATCTGGGATGCTCTCTGAAGCTTACTTGGTACATAACACCACAAGCATCAGAGTCAACAGGTTATATTTCAGAGTGTAGAAAATTGGGACGCAGTTACATGAAGACTTTTATAAAATGAACGAAATATTCCCATATTGAGTCATAAGAAAAGGCACAAACAGAGAAGAAAATTTTCTTTTCGACGATTCATTTTCATGAGCTGTACAATCGTAATTTTAATTAAACACATAAGTTTTTTTGACCAATCAGATACTGGTAAACTTTGTCCTTGAAAATTCTACTACATAATGTGAGGTGTAAGAAGGGATGACTAATTGTAAGTTAGAAAGGAGACAGAAGTTGGCATGACCTAATAAGTGTGAGATAATGACTAATCAATAAGCTAGTGTAGGATGGACAGGAACTAGTGGAAAGGCTATAAAGTATTTTTGTATAAGATCTGTGTGGAAAGCAATGTTATTAATAAACAGTAATAGAGTGGTGATAAAATGTGGATGGTGAGAATAGTAATAATAATAAAAGTATTAAGAACAGTAATAATAATAATAAATAATAGTGAACTTGCATATTAAAGGGAGGAGAAAAATTATAGTAAGAAATTTACTCTGGCCATGGTAGGGCTAGAGAATGTATGTATCGTTTTTGTATGCATAGGTCCGGTTTTATGTCACGAATAGCTAATGCCTCAGCTATGTACAGATGTCGTATCCGGAGTCCTTTTGTACGATATTGAGGGACTCTGTGTACCACTGTGAAGCATTCGTGTGGGGGTGCTCGATGTCCGGAGATAACAAGGTGTTCGAGGATTGAGCTGTTGGTATTCTTTTCTCCTCTGGCTAACCAAGCTGGGCAGTGTTCCAGGATACGTTTGTGGACTTGACGTTGCGTACGGCCGATATACTTTGCTCCACACGAGCAAGTGAATTGATAAATACACATTGAAGTGGCCAAAGGCGGTATCTTGTCCTTAACGTTAGACTGGATTAACTGTCTGCAGGAGAATGTTATACGTAGAGTGGCTGTTGGGAATGTCTTCTTCAGACTTTTTGAAAGGCGGTTTCTGAGAATTTCCGCTGCGATGTCACCTTTGAATTCTAGGTTCATGAAGAGAGTCTTCTTAGGAACCGTTGTGATATTTGGCACCGGGGGCTTCTCCTTCATGTTTTTGTCGATGAATCTTGGCGGATACCCATTCTCTAGTAGGGTTTCACGCAATAAATTTAATTCTTTCTCCACCGTGTCTTCCGAGCAGATTTTTCTAATCCTTGAGCACAATGTACGTACCAAGTTTCTCTTTCGGGTCAGTGGAACAAAGCTCTGGAAGTTGATAAACTGTCCAGTCCATGTTGGCTTACGGTATATCGATCTTTGGATCGTACAGTCGTCTCTTCTGGTGAGTAATACATCGAGGAATGGAAATGCGTTGTTCGATTCGCGTTCTAAGGTGAATCTTATTGATGGATGCGCTGCGTTGAAGGTTTTCAGGAGAGAATCTAAATCACATTTTTCATCACAGATTATAAACGTATCATCTACATATCTCTTGTATAAGTGCAGTTTACTTATCAAGGGATCAAGGATGTTGTTTTCAAGACTCGCCATGAAACAGTCAGCTAGGAGTGGACCGAGAGGAGACCCCATGGCTACTCCATCTTTCTGTACATAGAACTGTTCATTGAATTTGAACTGGATATTGAACGTGCATCTGAGAAGAAGTTCCTTCAGGTAGTTTATGGGGAGAGGAACTTCTATGTTGTTGGTTTCTATGTAATTACAAATGAAGCATATTGTCTCAGTCAGGGGGATACTTGTGAATAGAGAGGCGACATCTAGTGAGATCATTTGTCTTTCATACACGTTGACATCCTTCACTGAGTCGATGAAGTCAAATGTATCTTTGAGGCTATATTTTGTCATATGTCTTTTAACTGGTTCGAGGATATCAGCTAGCCACTTCGCGATTTGGTGATACGGTGAGTTAACCATGTCTATGACCGGTCGAAGTGGAACATTCTCTTTATGCACTTTCGGCAGTCCATACAGTCTTGGAATAGTTGAACTACATGGTTTTATTTGCTCATAAACCTCCGGTGTTATGACTGAATCTTCTTTCATTCTCTTCAGCAATTTTGTAAGTAGGTTTTCTGTTCTTTCGGTTGTCTTTTTGGTTGGGTGATTCAAAGAATTTGGTTTTGTCTGATAGTATATTTGTCAATTTCTCATTATAATCGGATCTATTCATCACTACAATCCCACTGCCCTTATCAGGACGGACAAGGATTATGTCCTTATTTTCTTGAAGTTGTTTAAGTTGTCTTCTGTGTTCTTTGGTTAGTAGGTAACGGTGGCTCGGTTGCGTACGAATGTACTTGTAACAGCTGTCAAGAATTGAAGCTTTGAATTGATCTAGGTCTTTTTCGGAAGTCGGTGACAAATCGGATGTCTGTGACATTAAATTCTCAAACTGCACTTTAGTATGTAGTTCGTTGGTTTTACTCGATACATGGCAAAATTTTGGGCCAAGTGATAGGACTTGCATTTGAACAGGAGTCAGAGGAAAATTCGAGAAATTGAATACATATTTCTCCGGATTCTGTGGAAACGTCGAAAGAGTTTCAGATGGTTTCAAGCTTTTTGTTGGTCGTGAAGTAGTATCATCACAACGTTTTTGTATGACACTAGATACGTAATCCTGGAATGTTTGTCGTTCTAAATAACCAGAACCCTTTTAGTGAAGTTATTTGTACTTCACAGTCAGTTTGATCATCACTAATCGAGAGCAACTAGAAAAAGCATTGGAAAGTAAGGAGCACTGAGGAGTTTCAAGGTCACTTCTCCCACTTATTTATCTGGACAGTAACGTTTCAACTACAGGTGGGATGGATAAGGATGTCCAAGCCAGGATCACAAAAGCCAAACTTACCTTCATTAATTAATGAATTTGAAATCAGTGTAGAAATCTAATACACTCAGAATGAAGAACATTATGCGTATTTTCAACTTTAATGTCGGGTCAGCTCTTCTATACGGTTCAGAGACTTGGCACGTTACGTAAAGGACTTCGAACAGGCTGTAGACAACAGCCTTGTTCGATCTATACTGACCATTAGATAGCCAGAAAGAACTAGGAACATGAAACTTTGGTGGTGAAGTTTCCAAGACCCTATTTCGCAACAAATCTTCAGAAGGAAGTGGAAATGAGTCGGACACACGCTGAGGAGACCACTGATGGATGCCCCGCATCAGAATGTCGAGAGGGGAACAAGGAGTTGTGGGTCCATATGTGATATGGAGGAGATCGTGTGAGGAGGAAATTAGAGCTTATAGGCACAATCAACCCTATGGTTTCGGAGGAATAATAATAACATAAACTTGCACAACAAACAGTTGAGACATTCTGAGCTTGATGTCAAACTTTAATGTCGATCATCTAAGCGACTTTACATAAACACCAGATTCACACAATTAGTCATGAATTACAAAGTTAATTGAAGAGTATTTGAGCCAACTAACTAACTGAAGTGAGTTTCATTATCAATGAAAGCGTCAATTTTCTTAGCGGTGTGGATTAACTTTGCCTATATAGCAACAATCTTCTAACTCACAATATACAGGTAGTAAAGTCATACATTAAGGACAAAGAAAAACAACAAAACCTCTCACAAAAGAAAAATCTCACAGTAGAAATATTTGTATTGTCAAATTCAAAGGATGAAATACAGTCTTGATTACAAAATATTAAATATGAAGTCTCACAGATGCAATAAATTACAACATTTATGATGTGATGATATCACATGGTAAGTTGAATTTCTTGGCGAAACACGTCAATTGACGAGCACGATACTGCCAATAACTGGCTCGAATTCTGTCCACTTCATTAGCCAAACGATCACATAGAGAGATGGCACGATTAAAAATAGTTTTAGGATCGTATTTCATGTTCATAGAATCACCTGTTGGTGCATCAACATGCGGACTATAATGTAAAGAAAAACAATCGGCATATTATGAACCGAGGAATTTTTACTTTACATTATTTCACGTATAAAAAGTACATTACATATATATATATATATATATATATATAATAACTTCTATACATAAAAAGTGAACAGGGGAGAACTAGCAGGCTTGAACTGGGTCTGCCAAACTGTATGAGCTAAGATAACACCATCTATTAACTTCGTAGTATTTGGTTTAACTGAGTAAGGCGTTATATATTTATATGATTGTAGTGCTTGAGAATGATATTTCTGAAAGTAGTAACTCTTCGCTGAGCACATTTATTTAACAAAATGATTAACTCTTTTTTATAATTGTCAGGTTGTACAATTTAAATGCCAGCTTTGGTGTATTTGAATGTTATTAACAGGGAATATTAGTTAATATTAAAAATGAATTATTTGTGATTCATTTTTTAAACTATTGCATCTTAAGCTTAGAGATTCCACCTAGACATCTTCGACAAAGGTTCAAAATCACCTATTTACTGGACTGTAATCTTGAATATCTATGAAAAATCACTGTGCGTATTCAAATGAAGGTGTAAATTCTCTACCGAATTACAGAAGAGATCATATTAACAATGATCTAAACTGCAACACGATAAACTTACTGCAGCACTCTAACAAATAGTCTCATTAGTTTTTGTTTTCCTTTCCTCGTTACTATTACACTGTTGTTCTCATCTTCTACCACACATCAACTTTATATTTCAAATCCTGTGGTGCATTGTTTGAAATGAAATACTCTACGTTGTTTTTTCTTAATTTTTAATTATTTTATTTATTTATAACTTATTTATTTTATTTTTATTTATTTATCTTTGATTTTTAAAAATCTTATATAATTTATGAGGTAATTAGATGCAATATACTGTAATGCACGCTGAAAATTCCATACCTGTACCATAAATACCGTTTGGAATAAAGCTGTTATTATTATTATTATTATCCTAGTTCACTCTAAAGAAAGGTATGATGCACAATTTTGTTACAGTTCTAAAATAAAAGGCAAAACCACCACAGTGTTTGATAGAAGTATACATAAACTGCGCAACTGAAGATTCATGCGGTTGTTGAAATCCAACGATAGAAAGCGAAGAGCAAGATTGAATAAAATTGTAAATTCTCAGTTGGTAAAATATAATGCGATTACTTATACGATATCTTGCCGGGATTATAATATATAAACTAGTATGATGCATATCGACCATACGAGTGCATTTATTGATATTCAGCTACCCGTCAACAGCAAGATTACAAATAACGTTCACCAGCTGCAAGTTGTTTTCCATCTCTGTAAAAGATAAACTCTCCCTTCTGGGCGTCTCAATGTGCATGTTCAGTTTACCTGGTCTTGTTGACTAGGGTACATTGGCCGTGGCCAGAGAACGTTTTCCACACGGATACGAGTACACATCCCAGCATGCCTTTACAAGGAAGAAAAGAAGCGTGTGCGAGGCTCTATTCTAGAACACTTGATCGACTCCTGTCGCTCTACCAACCTTGACCATGAGATTTTAAAATCATCTATAGGATCCATACTAACCTGCCACGTATTCTTCGATATAAGCCTCTAAAGACAATGAATGCCTCAGCCATTCATGAATTTAAACCAGACCTTTGTGTACAAAAGAAGTATGTACAACCCCTACTTCTGCCTTGGCCGTAGAGGGATACACATTTATCTATTTATTTTGTTTATTTAGTTAATCTAGGTACCTTTCCCTCATTACTACGACTCTGAACTGTTCCCAATTGCCATTCTAAATCCAAAAAGAACTTTTTTACAATGTTGAATTCTATCTTTATCAAATTTCACACCATGTTATGTAACGTTTTATATTAGCCTACTAATGCTATAATTACACAAATATTTTAATTGCATTTCATACTATTATAATTTCATGTATTTACACCTTTGGTTCAGTTCCCTCATCTGATATAATTTCTTATAATACAAACCATATATATATATATATATAGCTTGATAATAGATTCATTGTTGAAAAGAGTCTCTTCGCTGAGTGAATATTGTGTTCTTAATGTTGTAATGGGAACTATTAAATTATATAAATAAATGCATACTTATTGCTTCCTTTGCAACATATAACATAATGCTGCTTATCTGCCTTGTTTTCCTGGTGTGCCACTGCCATTTGACTGTTTCATAAAGTGTAATTCTAAGTAATCAGTATACACTTCAACTAAGAAGCTAAGTGGAGCTAAACAGTCAACAACAGTACGATCGACTGACATCAAATCTTCAACAAACTTCAGCATAAGTTGGAGTTTAGGCATTAAATCAATTTCATTACTGGAAGATTTTTCATCTGATGGTCTGGATGTCTCAGAGTAAATATACTTTCTCTTATGCACAAGGGGTACTAATAAGCCATAAAAATAATTCCATGAACTCTCATTATTCGGTGCAAAAGAGATTCGCTTCTGAACAAAATCGATTTCCTAAAAAATTAAAGAAAGAAAACAGTAATACACGTTAGTTATATTGTAATTTATACAGTGGAAATCATGCTCAATGGCTTGAATACCTAAATTAAATGACTTACACGTGTAAGAACAGATGGCGACAAACCTTCATCAAGCGTGACTACGTAGAAACGGTGATTCCACGTTGAGTTATTATGTACATCGCTTAAAAGCATTCGTTCAGTAAATGCCAGTTCTTCTTCGACAGATATTTTAAAAAATGTCACAATCCATCGACGATGCAGCCATGCATGATAGTTCTTTGGATCATCCGAGATAACATCATTAGTGAAACGTAGTTCATCAGAACGGAGATGTGTTAGAGAATTACATGATCCGTTAGCAGTCTGTTTTGATAATTCTTCCACAATCCACTGACGATGATGCCATAACTACAAAAGGAAATAAATAAACAAATATTTTTCCAAAGCATTCATGCATTAGATCAGTCAGAATATCTTAATTTCTACACATCTTTTCCTGTCATAAGACTCTTAGTACAGTGAACAGGAAAATAAGTCCATATTATCTCTTAGGAGTCGACAGTTCAACAAGAATATATATTTAATGCTACTAGTAGGCTATTTCAGGTACCGATTACGGGCGTGGAGCTGCCACTGGGTAAAGAATACTTTTGAGCAGTGCTTATAAATAAGGTTCAAGTGATGAGTAGCACACATGGACTGTGATGCTTATTCGTACACGCATAAAACTGGATGGTGAAAAAGCCTCTATTTTATCCTGTATGTTAACCAAACTGAATCTGCTTCTAAAGCACTGGCATATCATGATATCAAAAAAGTTTTTGGCGAGATAAAAAATCCCAGGCATTACAGTATAACTGGGAAAAAATTATGATCGACAATGACAAAAATTACTGGGAGAAGCGAATGTTAACTCCTACACTGGAGAACCACTTCACTTCTAGTGTTTCAAATTACTTTCATTTTGAACACAGTGCGATCAAAGCGAATTATCCAGTTTTGACAAGGATAAAATAAACATTCCCGATTTTATACCAACTATCACCGGTGTTATTTCTTACTGATGTGGACCGGCACCTGCAACAGATCGTGAGGGGAGATAAGAGGGGGTATTTATTAGACCAATTCTTTAGAGGCTCAGCGCATCACCTAGAGCAATTCAAACGGGCTGCAGGACTGTATTCACAGCTGCCGTACTCATGGAGCTAGCTAAGAAGGACTTCAAAGGACAGGGTGGAATGGAAATGTGCTGTTGAAGTCCCATGCTCCCCTCGAAATCCAAGGGAATAATGATAAATGATAACAATCTTCAATTTCGCTGATTTTGTGATTACCTTAAGGTTGACTGACTGTAGTTATGTTTACGTAAAACAAATGTCTCACTGACACTGACGAGTCATTCTGACTCTTTTGTTAGATCTGGTCATTTTGCTATGTCTACCAATGATACGCTAGTTACAGAATAAGTGTCTACCATCATTTATAAGATGTATATATATGCTTGGTTAAAAACGAATAAGTATGTGTAAGGATATTTTTGATCTAGGATGAAGCAAGTTTATTTTAGCATATTTTAATGAGACCTTACTATGGTAAATATTAACCCACAGCATATTTATAATTTTTTTCAAATACATTGAAACGAAAAGCTGCATATATTAGTAGGGCAGAAACTAAAAAGAGACGGTATGAAAATACAAGAAATTCCTAATATATATATATATATATATATATATATATATATATATATATATATATATATATATACAAATTGTTCACCACAAGGTATCTTCATTCAACGGTTCATACCCAGAAAACTTCCGAAGATTGAGGGGTAATACGTTAACCCGTTTTATAACCAATTTCAAGATTTTGTTTCAGTTTCATTTATTTTCACTTGTGATTCTAGCCCTCAGCAAACAACACTGAAATTTAGTTGTATTCAAAGTTTTTTATTATATTCTTTACATGTGATACTAACCTGAAAGAGACACAGAAGCAATCAAATAGAGACGTCTCAGGGGAAAAGGGACCCGACAAGGAATGCCTCACTGCAGACATAAACGACACTGGTCGAAGGAAGAGTGCCGATGCACACCACGACCTAGGGCACAGATACACAGTGAAAGGAGAAGCCCAGTACAACGTACAGAGCATTGAACAAGGGACTTAAAAACGCTACTAGGAAAGACAAAAAATAGGCTTCCGCCAAACACTGGAAACTGGAAATGAACAGGGTGCGCGTAAGAGAGACTACAAAACACTATAGCAAATATCCGTATTACTTTCCCGGAAGAGGTGAATACAGACGAAGCTAGTGGAAGGTAGCGAAAGCAGCCCAATTACCTGAGGTGTGAAAAAAGAAAACCCTATGTTGATACAACAAAGGATTTTTGATTCAATAACCACCAACGACTCGTCGAAAAATACCAGCGGACAATTCGCCCCTGGACCAAAGCAGAAGACCTCTGGGATATTAAGTTACTGAAAGCCGAGAAAAAGGAGGGTCAGATGGAATCTCCCAGAAGCATAGAGAACGCAGACCTCGCCAATGCTACAAACGGTGTAGAGGGAAGGAAAGGTACCTGCCTATCCCAAGGAAAGTTGAATTGCGGAAATGCCAAATAAAGGCGACTTGACCCCATGCAAGAACTAATGCCGAGTCACTCACCTGTCTAACCCAGGCAAAGTATTAATTTGTGTCATCTTGGAGAGACTAAAAGATATCACGGTTAAGAGACCTCGCTTGGAATAGGTTGGACTCACGAATAACAAGTCATGTGCGGGTCAAATCGCAGTAATACATTTCAATAATTACTAGAGCCCAGAACGGAAGTAAACTCTTTAACTCAACTTCGTGGACTTTAAAAAGGCCTTCAACAGCGTAGATGGCAAAATAGTTTGATAGTTGCCTCAATACTATTGATTGCAGTGCAGCAAACATCTGTAAACCTCGTTCAACACTTACATGATGACGCCACTTGCCAAATGATTCACAACAGTAAACTCCATGAAGCTTTAGAAGTAGATTCGAGTAATGCAAGGTTGCCTATCATCACAGATGATATTCCTGGTTGTGGTGGACTGGATCATGCCGGGCAGGTGCTTGACTAAGGAGAATGTAGAAGATCTGGACTTCATGAATGATTCATGTCTTCCGAACTCGAAGATTTACAAGCAAAAAGCAACAGGTTGACAGAAAAGGTGAAGAAGACTGGGCTCTAAATGAGAAGGCATACGCGGTGAGGATACCCAACCAGTACCAACAAACACCAATCACCATCAATGAGAGAAATCTGAAAATCATCTCTTCTGCGTAGACCTTCAATACTCCGAAGTCAGTGTGGAGACAGATCTACAACTCAACACAGGGAACAACATCCGAATTTGCAGCATTAATGTCAAGTTAGTCCTTCCACATAGTTCACAGATTTTACGCACGCTAACGATAGACACTTCCAACGGCCTACAGAAGACTTCCAACAACATGTTTCTGGTCGATATTGAAAATTAGATAGTTGGGTGGAAACTATATGTTACAAGGAACTCTGGCAGTTAGCGAACCAATCAAGAACCTTTTACTCAACTAATATGTAGAAGAAATTGAGGATGAATTCGACATACGCTGAAGTGACCTTCAAGTGAAATTACACACTGAGTCCTTGAGAGTAACCTGAAGGCGAAGTGACGATTTAAGCATGCAAGGTGACATGAAGATCTTGTGTATATGTAAGTGGAAGCTTGTGGGAAGTCGTGAGGCTTGCTGAAAGTGATGAAAAAGAGTCGAGAGCAATGAAGATATGCAGTTGAATCCCTATGATGCACTTGGAGGGAAGTAAAGAATAATAATAAATAGCTAAAATTTGTCGAATGGGAGACCAGATAAAAAATGTTCGTTCTTTCTTAACACTCGTGTAGATTCTTATAAGGCGATAGTACGTGAACATGAATGTCTACTACGAAGCGGACGTAAGAGATAAGCGGCTACACAACATTTACGTATCCGACTTTTAGAAAGAAATGTCAGATCCATATTTTGAGGAAAAATAACTAAACACATAACTGTGCACATCAATAATGCTCATCTTGAGGAGGCCTGTCACCATATGCAGTCTGCTGTACAAATAGTACCTACAGAGCAAAATTAAATGTCAACGGATGTTTGCGGCTTTATCCGAAATGAGAGGATACAAGGAGATTGATACTGTTGGGTTTGGAACATACCAAAGGACGAATGCTGGGCGAGAAAAGAGAAAGATAGGTGCTCTAAAAATGTAGGAATGTGGAAGATGCGTCGGGAAGTACATTATGGTAGTCAATGCACTCTACACAAAATCATGCAACCGTGTTAGAGCCCACAATGATTGTCATCTGAAGTGACAAAATTCAGTGATGTACGTCAGAAATTTCCATTGTCATTATTTCAATTCGCTTTCATGATAGAGATATGTACTGATGGAGGTGACACTGGTCGGTTTCGACGTCTGATGGATTGACCTGTTATCAGAGCAGTTTCGTCGATCGAGATAGAGCACGCAGATGGTATCATTGTTGTTGTTGTTGTTAAAAGTGCTGGAAGATGTAATCTTTTGAACACGTTGAGGGAAGATCTTAGTATAGGATTTCATCATGAGCTGACATTAGTTAGAGAACCAATGGAAAACCTGGGAGTACTGGACAGCTGTTTCGTACTCGTTTGGGACCCTTCATCAGTACGCACCCACCGGGATTTGAACCCAAGACCTGATTACAAGGCTAGCTCGTATACCATTAAGCCACTGGGACTCGATCCAATGGCCCAAGAATTCTAACTTCTGCCAGAAGTCACATAATAAAAATGGGGGATAGACAGGAACTAGTAAAGGCGGAAGAATAAGGTTATCCGTTAAGCACAAATCTAATGAGTAAACTCATTAAATTTTATCCCCACTAACAATCTAATACATTGGGCGTAACAATTTCAATAATGCTGTTATAACTATGTGCAAAAAGGGACAGTTCTTTCGCAACCGAAAAGGCCACTTTGATTAATTACTTCTGTAAGGACCATATACCCTCACATTCCGTGATTCGTTAGAAAGGATAGTCTCAGACACTACAACGGTTCTTTTAAATAATATAGCGTAGG